TGACTATTTGGTTTTACATTGAGGGTATTTCTTCTTTTATAGTATAATGAAATACATTTCACTTATTTGCTGTTAAGTCTTCAACAGGAGCCAAAAATCCTGTAAAAAATTTTTATCCAGCCAGATTTTTGTCACCTTATCCTAAATTTTTTAAAAATTAGTACACTTCCCAGGCCAGTGATGTCTTGCTTGCAAGTTGGTATTTTAAGTCTATTTTAAAGGTTTTTCAGAAATTGTATCAAAATGATTAAAATGTATTTAGTTTTTTTTTTTAATGAAGATTCTTTATCATCTTCAGTAGTGGATTTCTGAGTAATTTGAGGCATTCCTTTTGCTTCAGTTCTATTCAATCTGAGCTGATAGAATACAGTACGAATTTATTCTCTCTCCTTTTCTTTTAATTAAAGTAAGTTCTTGGAGACGTGCTGATGACAGGAAGGATGACCGGGCAGAAGAGAGGGATGCCCCTCGTCGTGTTCCTCCTGCAGCTCTTTCGAGAGATCGAGACCGAGAAAGGGAAGGTGAGAAAGAGAAGACCTCCTGGAGAGCTGAGAAAGATAGGGAATCTCTTCGTCGTACTAAAAATGAGACTGATGAAGATGGATGGACCACAGTACGACGCTAAGACTCGAGATAATGGATTCAAACTCACGTCTCTGCATAGGTTTGATCACATTCAAGGATTATTATACTTGTGCTTCAACCAATCTAAATTGGATTCTTTAATGTCTCACCATAACACAAAAAGCATGAACTTGTATTAATCCTATATAATAGATTGATCAGGCACCGCATCCACAGACGGTTGGAAAACCACACCATGTTTTTGAATTTAAGGTGTTGCATTATTTCATCAATCATTTGTTTACAAAAAAAGAAAAACTAAAAATAAATTTAAAATGAGAATTCTTCAGGTATTGAGTAACACCTATATCTTGGTATAGAACTGATCTTTTTTCTTTTGATTTTGAAATACCTGGTATTAATTTGGAATGAAGTAAGGTTCTGTTATAGAGAATGTATTTGAAGTCTCTAAAACAGGGAGCTGAAACAGTTCTCACACCATTGAGACATACCTCTAGGTATTTTGAGGTATTTACTATTTACTAAATTCAGAAGGTTTTTAGGTTTACTCTTAAGTGCAGTAAACATTACACATATTGGATACAGTGGTTTTTGGTAGATTTTACTTGAAAGAAGGTGAGTATAAACCAACTTGCAGTCATTATTATAATGACGAGAATACTGCTGGAGTGTGAATCCAAAACAGATATAGCTTTTAAATTTTAAAGCATTTGGTAAACTGTGGCTGAGTTTTTTCTGTTGCCAATAGCAAACTGCTTTTCCATTTATGGAGAATTCATGCCTTTCAAGCATTTTAAATATGACAATATTTATAAATGTGTGGTTTGGAGGAATTGTTTAAATTCTTTTTCCTAATTTCCTTTCTCTTCAGAATAGATTCTTTCAATAAGTAATTTGTAGTAATGACTGTGTTGACTTCAATTTTGGAGTGTAGTAGCTATGTTAAAGATTAACTATTTGGTCTTATTGAAGCCAACACAGAACTTGCTGCTGTGTTTTTTCTTCAATGATAAATAAAACACTTACAGAATTTGTTTCAGTGTTGATTTGTGGTTAGTGTTTATAATGTTTAGCTTGCATATTCAGTGAGTTTATTTCACTTGAGGTTTTACCAGTGGTATTAACTTTCTCACTGTTGAGTATCAAAGAAAATAACCTAAATATAACAAAGAGCAAATGTGCTGAGGGTGGTCCCACTGAAGTGTCCTCCTCTGCTACTGGATGAACGTCTTAGTTTCCCTGTAAAGTTGTCCTCTCTGTGTGGGGTGAGCGTGTGTGTGATGTACATCTTGAGTTTTCCCCTGAAATTAAAAGCATAATTGATTTTACAGAATGTTAATTGCAAATTTATAGTGGCTCTAGGCACTTAGATTCTTTCTGGTGTTGAGTAGTGGTGAGAATTACTCTTGGTGCAGTCATGAAGCCAGAAGAGGGAGTATTGGTGCTTTTTTAAAAAAAAAAAAACTTTACCAAATATAGCCTTTCCTTTTCAATGTTAATGATAGAAATCACTTTAAAAAACATTTTTCTTAATTTATATTTCAAACAAGTGAAAGTTTTGTGAGAAGAGGGCCTTTTGTAACAAGTGAAAACTTGGGACAGTAACCTGCTCTGTCCCAAGTACTAGAGCCGGACATACCTGGCAGTCACATACAGGCCCCAACAGACATTGATTTGAGCTGATTTGTTTAGATGGTGGTCTGATGGTTAGGTTTCCAGGCTAGTCTGCAAATCACCCTTCCAACCCAGAACCTTTCCCAGATGTACTGTTCTCCCAAGTTCAGAGCACAGGGTAAGGGCAGAGGAGTGCAGCTGCTTGTGATCCTGCTCAGGGCCTCACAGTCTTACCCCTCCCTCAGTGTTGATTTACAGGTGTCTTCCACGTACCCAGTGGCTTCTGCATTTTTAGACCGGATATCATTAATATCAGTATGGGTGGATCTGAGGGTGGAGACAGCGGCCGAGAAACGGTTCGACATAGCAGTAGTTGTCCAAAGTGGCTACTAGGGGGAGGTTGGCATCTATATATGTGTGACATGATTCGGCTGTACACCGATTTAAAATTTTGTAAGTCTTAAAATATACTGGAAATTAATGGAAGGAATGTTCATGTTGTAGCTAGAATAGAAAATTAGGACTAACACATTTTTCTTTGAAGTACATGTGCATTTGTGGTATGATTTTAAAATATAAGGCAGTCTGTGGCTGGTAAAGCTCTTTTGAGGATTCCATACATCTTTTCCCCAAAATATGCAGTCTTATGAAAATAAGTAATTTTGTCAGTATTTTGTATACTTTCTAGACTTCAGAAAATTGGGTTTCCTTTTATCTTAAATTTAGCTTTTCAAGTACTTAAAACATGTTTCAGATTGAGAGTTGCTTTTAAATGTGTTAGAGCCTGTTCAGTAAACTTTTCATAAGAGATTTCTAGAAAACTACTGACATTCTCCATTATGCTTTAAAATACTAGAAGCTAAAGTTAGCTGGAAAACGGGCAAATGGCAGGGGGTGGGGGGGGGTGTGGTGCTGCTGGTACAGTAAGTCACCTGCCTAGTCCTTTCTGCCTGGAGAATGCACCCATCTGTTAATAGTGACTCTTGAAAAGGTAGAACTAAAGCAGTGGCAAGAGGTGACAGGAATTCATGTGACCTGAAAACCCAGAAAGCTAGAAAACTATTTTAAATTGGTTTGTTTTCTAGCAAAACTGAAGAGAAGTTAATGCATGCTTTTGAGTTTAGGTATATTCATGTCTGAAGTTATCTAATTTGGAGCTAGACTAACAGGATTTTTTCTTGACCAAGAAATGAATGATTTGCCTGTGTGCCCCCCTCTTTTCCCACCCTTTGACCAAAAAAGCTCATAGCTATCTCAGTTATTATGGCAGCTTCTTAGATTTTCAAAGAAGTGTTCAAATCAAGCAAATTTGCTGTGGAGGGAGTTAGTTGTTTAATATGAAGGCAGTCTAATTTTTAATAACCTAGCTAAGCTCTCCTGGGACCTCTAAAGACTTAAGTCTTCCTGTTATTTTTCAGATAGTGATTTTGAACAGTTAGATGACTTAATGTTAATTCATTTCCATTTTTACCTTGTGTGTCTGTTCTGATGGTAGATACGGTGTGGTATTCACTATGGTGGACTTGAAAATGAAGACGGGAGGTTAAAGTCGAAGTCAAGCACCTTTGCCCAAGGATTAGATTTAATCTCACTGATGAAAATAACTGGTGGGATTCCAGGAGGGTTGTCTTCCAATGAGAATGGGAACACAATAGAGGGAGGCTGTGTTTCTTGTCTTACCCCCCTTACCCCCAGTCAGTTCCTTTAATTGGTGCTTATACTGGTTTGAGAACTTCTATGATGGTTTAAATCTGACATAGTCCAGAGTGGAACCTTCCTCTGAACACCAGTTGTTCCATTAACCTTCCGGAGCTCAAAGGGTTCCATCTTACATTTAGTCTGAGAGGCAACAGCTGGAATGAGATTGCCACTATTTACAGACCCTGAAATCAGCAATTCAGAGTGAATTAATACTGCACCTTTTTGATCTTAAGTATGACATATTTTTGAAGAACTGAATAGGAAGGGGCATAAAGAAAAAACCAAGTAGTAGAGTTAAAGGCAAGGTTAATGAATTCATATACTGTTACTGTATAAATACACAATTTTTTTAAACAGCACCATTTAAGTGTATACACAATATGATTATAACTTGGCACTATTTTTAAAGGGGGAAAACGGTAGTTGCTCACTCAGTAATAAAAAGATCTGGTACATGAGCTGTATTCTACCTCCCTACAAATTGTACATTTTATACATCTCCAGCTAGGACAAAAACAAGCCACAAGGAGGGAACACCCACCCAAACTAACACTGTAAAGTATACCAACTCTTCACTTAATGATGCTACCAGGCAGGGCTTCACCTGGAATTATAACTGGGTAAGGACAACAGAAATATTACTTGTTCCAAACAATAAAATAGTCATTTTGCTGACACTCCATAAAATCGCCTGTTTTAAGTTCAGTTGAGAGGCTTTTAAAAAAATATTCTAGACCTAGTAAAGTGCCTCCATTCATAAAATTAAACATCCAAGATTAGATTGAGACAATTTCATACTGATGCGCATCTAAAATAGGTCGACGTATAAATAAACCACAGCGCCTCTAAGTTGCCACATTTCAGTTAGTGGAATACCCAGCCTTCACCGTCTGGATGTGCACAAACTAGAAACATAATCAAGATTTTAAAGTCTAGTCTCAACCGCTCTTCGACAGGAAAATAGTACCGTCGGCTTCCTCTGGAAAAACCAAGACGAGCTCCACGCTCCCCGGCAGCGAAGGGAGAGATGGTGCGCAGACCAAACACGAGAGTGGGCGGGCGGCTACCCTGGTGGCATCAGCAGACCGGGGTCCGGGCCCTTAACGCAGCTTCTTGCCGGGCAGGCCGTCCCGGGCGCTGCGCGGCGGCACTTTGGAAAGCGGGCAGTACTTGATGGTGTGCGCGTTGTCGCCGCTGGCACCGCACAGGGGGCACGTGTACCTGCGCAGCACGGGGCACAGCACCCGCCCGTCGGGTCCCTTAAGGATGTGGGTGGTGTAGAGCGCCACCGCCTCCTTGTTGTTCCGGCAAAACACGCACACCTGCAGCTCGGGCTTGAGCAGCCGGGCGGCGGCCGCCCCGGAGGCGGCGTGCAGCCTGGGCTCGGCCGCCCACGCCGGGGCCCGCTCCTCTCGCGGCGCCGGTTCGGCGGTGGTGGCGGCGGCGGCGGCGGGTGCACAGCCCAGAAGCACGGCGGCGGCGCGACCGGCAAATGGGCTCAGCTCAGCGAAACGCTCCTCCAGGAGCCCGGCCTCGGCAGGGTCCGCACAGAGCTCCAGCGCGCGCAGCTCCAGCGCGCCCCCCAGGTAGCGGCTCCGGGATCCCGGATCGTCGCTGTCGTCGTCGTCGTCGTCCTCGTCGTAGTCGGGAGGCCCCAGAGCGGGCCCCAGCGCCCCGGGCCCGGCCCCCGCGTGGGGGGAGCAGCACGACGAGGAGGAAGAAGAGGGCGGGGAGCCGTCGCCGCCGCCGTCCCCGCCGCGGGCGCAGCCGAAGCGCGGCTCGCTGTCCACCGCCTTGGTGATGAGCGTGGCGAGTCCCAGATAGTCGTTCCACGAGCTGAAGGGCTGCGGGTGCGCCGGGCCCTGGGTGCTCACGTAGCGGGAGCTGGGCACGAGCGCCATGGGCGGGGGGGCGCGGCCGCGGCGGGGCGAGCGGGGCGCCCAAGGGAAAGCCTCCATGGGCGGGTTGCGGGCCGCGCGCGCCGCCTCCCCGCCGCCGGCGCGGGCCGGACGGAAGGGAAGAGCCGAGCCTGCCCGCCGGCCTGCCTCGGGGTGGGGCTGCCTCGCCGCCTTTTATCGGGCCCCGCTCCTCCCCGCCCCGCGGCCTCTCCGCCGCGGCCCTGCCCCCTGCTCTCCCCCGCCCGGGCCACCTCGCCCGCGCCCGGGACGGAGGCGGAGCGGAGGCGGACGCGCGGGGGGCGGGCGGGCAGGCAGTGAGCGCGCGCTGCTCCGGCCCGCGAGGATCCTGCACCCCACGCGCTGCGCCCGCCTCGCCAGCTGCGGGGCAGCTTTCATTCTGGGAGGGGGCGAACAGGCGCCGCCTCGGGCCGCTGCGCTAATTGGCTGCTGACCAGAGCCCCCTGCGCCATGGGCGCCGCTCCAGACGCTGATTGGTGAATCCGGGGGAGGGGGCGTGCCCTACCGCGCAGCTGGGAGGGGAAGGGGATGTAGGGGAGGGGCGGATGCTGGGGCACGCCTTCGCCTGAGCTCTGTTCCCCGGGTTTGGAACAGGTGACCAGTCCTGGATCTCTCTCGGCTTGGGGGTGAAACCCACCTCCCAAGCTTTTAGTACCCTGAGCCAGTCTTCTGCCTTCGGAGAAACCCCTTCTTTCCTCTCTCCTTCTTATCAGCATCAGCAAGGAAAGATGGGGAGGCAAGACTTGGTGCGAGCTAACGGTGCAGTTTTTAAGTGGGAGCCGCCCAGCAATCAAGTAACTTCCTTTTGCACAGCGTTCTGGAGAGCTTTCAACTGGGTGGAATCCTCGCACAAACCTCAGAGAGCTTCAGAGAGGTTTTGGTTCTTACCTCGTAAGTAGTGGAAGGACACATAACTTTCCCACAGCAGCACTGTAGCGCCTCCCAACAGGTGTTCCGAGACCAGCTGGTGGCCAATAGCTGGTGACAGACAGGTAGGGGTGAGGGCCTTAGGAGAGTGATCAGTGTGTGTGTGTTTCTAAGTGTGTGTAGCTCTTCACTCCTCCTGCCCCTGGGGTGGGGGGGACCGTATTGAAATATGAGGTGTTTGTGCAATTGAAATAACAAAGCGTATTCAGAGGCCACTTCAGCGCCACCATTTAATACTTTGAAATGAATACAGTACTTTTGTAAAAACGGTGGAAAATAAATCCGAAGACTTTAGGTGGCTACGAGATGGCCATACCCTTCCCAGGAGAAGGAGCAACACGGTTTTTTAAAATATGAAAAGTAGGAAAAGGATTAGGTAGGAGGCGGGTTCCTGTAGGGTGCTGAGGGGCGGGGACAATGCCTTCTCGTCTAAGCTGGCAGGCAGGGTTGGCTTCATTGGGCGGGGCAGGGTTTTCCTTCCTCTCTCTGGAGGAGCTCTGTCTGTTGAAACAAGGGCTGGGAGACTGGTGTTGCAGCTGTCATTAGTGGGTGGGTCTGGATATGTCCCAGCAGGTTTAGAGTGGTCCCGGAGGGATGCCCAGAACCTAGTGCTGGCTCGGGTTAACAGTAGAATGAAGGAGTCCGAATGTTTGCAATGAAGGGGATCTTTGAGATCATTCCGTCCGATCTTACTTTACAGATGAAGAAAATGAGACCCAGAGAAGAGAAGGCTTCTTTAGATCATACAGTGAATTTGTCACTGCCAGAGTGAGGACTCAGGCCTCTTCATGACTGGCTTGATGGCCTTTCCTCTACACCGTGAATTTGGAATCTATTTCAAACTTTGAGTCTGTCTGTCCGTGCATCAGCAGAAATCTAAGTGTAGCATACAGGGGTATGGAGAAAGAGAAGTGAGATGGGGCCTTGTGCCGTTGGCATGGGCCCCTGCCCTCAGGCGTGATCCAGGGGCCACGCAGCAGGGACAGGCAAGGTCTTGAGGCAGTAACGTGATGCCTGTCCTGGCCACCTGTCTACATGCTGGGGTGGAAAGTATGTTTTTCAGCCTCTTCCTCACCTCCTACTCCCTGACGGTTGATTTAAGTCCTCAAACCAGGCAGTGATATTCAGCACTTGCCAAGCCAGTTCCTTTTCCAAGTTTGTGTTGGCACTCAAGTTGAAAAGCTATTCCTTTATTTCCTCTTGTCTCCCACCAAAAATAAATATAAGGGCCTGGCGTGGGGCTCCTGCAGAAGCGTGGTGGGTTTGCTGACACTGAACTCGGAGTTCTTACCGCGAGAACGCTGGCCCCCAGAGTGGTATGAAGAGTATTATTCTATAAATGGAAAATTCCACTCTGTTCTTGCAGCCCTGCAGCCTGTGTACGTTCAAGGTATGTGGACTTTTCAAGCTCTGAAGACTGCGAGCTACTATTCCTAGAAAAACCTCTGCGAGCAAAGTTTAAAGCCACTAGCGGCTGGGGCCAGCTCCCTTTGGTCAGACCAGAGAGAATGGCAACTAGGAGAGGCTTTCTTTCCTTTCTCATGTGGATTTTTTAGCCCTTGTGAATTTGCAGGGAAATAAACGCTTTTAGTGAACATGAATGGGAACAAGTGCCTCAATCAATCGGGAGCTGCGGCCTGGGTGGGTGGATGGGTGGTGGTAATTGTGAGGCAGATGTCCTGGGGAGAGCTGGAGGGCTGCGTCCTTGGGCCCTGCCTCAGTGCTCTTACCCCAGGCTACTCACCTCATCTGCTGTCAGCCTTGCCCATAGTAGGTGTTTTGCCCTGAAAGAGTGTCTGGAAGTGAAGGTCAGGGGCATGAAGGCTTCTTTTTTTTTTTGGCAGGGGAGGAGTTACATGCTGCACCTCAGTATACTGTCAGTGACCCCAGAGAGGCTAGAGTGCGTGCCTGCCCCAGCTCTTGGCTCAATCAGCAATTACTTCTGTCACCAAGTGCAGACCTCAGATGAGCTCTCTAGCACTCTGTGAGGTTCTTTAGCTGACTTCTGAGATATGCTCAGTACCTCTGTTGGATGAAGTCTGACTGCCTTTGGTTCCCCTTCCAGAAGGCCAGACTGAAACAGACAGAAAAGCCCGCGTGTGAAAGTTTCCTAGAGGGACACCTTCAGGTGGTTGGGGCAGGAAGACAGAGCAGGAGAGGCCTCATCTCAGAGGTTAGACAGTGTTTCTTCCGTTTCTCCTGGGCCGGGGCCTGCGTGCCACAGGCGGGGTAGGGGTGAGCAGTGAGACGCTTGGGCTCCGGGTGTCTACCTCTCCACGTGGCCCCCAGCCCCCATCCTGGGCCGTTGCCTTTGCTGGCAGCAGAACTGAGCCAGGAGAGGCAACGCGCAGACCTCGGGCGGCTTGAGGCGCTTCAGAAACATGAGGTCAGCCCCAGGGAATGAGGCAGCTTGGCGGGGGTCCAGCGGCTACAGAGGTGCTGTTTGTCAGGCTCTGGGTTCCCAAGGCCCGCCTGCCAAGCTCCTGTGAGGGGCAGGAAGTGCTCTGACAGCCCCAACCCCCACATGGCCCTGGGGCCTGGAGGTGCATTTGGGCGCATTTGGCTCACTTCTGTTAATGGTCTTGACGTTGTCCGCGTCATGCCTCTGGCCAAGCTCAGAGTGCCCTTTGGGGCTTAGGGTCAGCCACAGTGTGGTGAGAGGCCCCGTGGTGACATGGCAGGAACTGGCTGGGCCAGTGATTGTGTTTTTACCTTGGTACTTCTGTAAAGTCTTCAGTGGCCTTGGATGAGGGACTTTACCACTCTGGGCTCCAATTCCTTCCTCCGTCAATGAAGGGGCTCTATGTAGAGGGAAGGCCACGCTCTCCTTCCTGCTTTCTTACTTTTATGAAGTCTCTCTCCTGACCTGGTGAGGTGAGCTGTGATAGGTGTAAGCCAGCAGAAACAGCCCCTGTTCCTTGATATTTTTAGGAGAGGGCTGGTAACCCACATCTGGGTCCTGAAATGTAAGGGGGGGTGTTACATTTAGGGTATTAGGGAGGCTCTGGAAGAGTTTGCTCCTTTCTTCAGAAAAGTACAAAACAAAACCAGTAACCTCACCTTCTTCCAGTCACTGGCAGGTTGAAAATCTGAGGCAGCCCAGAGGTGACAAAGCTAAGTCTTCGGGACAAAAAGCTGGTATACTGATGACTGCCTGGAAAAGTTATTTAGAAAAATGAAGCCTCGGTGACATTTCTGTTGCTGTCCTGTGACTTGTTACACAAGATACTTAAGCATCTTTATTGTTTCAGCCACGGCAAGTCAGGTATTGCTTGCAGCTGAGTTCAGTCTAATTGAGATGTGCTGTGCTCAGACGTGTCCGACTCTCTGTGACTCCATGGTCTGAAGCCCACCAAGCTCTTCTGTCCATGGAATTTCCCAGACCTGAACACTGCAGTGGGTAGCCATTTCCTCTTCCAGGGGATCTTCCTGACCCAGGGATCAAACCCGCATCTCTTGCATTGGCAGAGCAGATTCTTTACCACTAGCACCACCTGGGAAGCCCAACTGAGATATAGTAATATAAAAAAAAGCATTGGCAATTCTGTCAAGAAGGTGAGACACCCCATTCTGGCCAGGTGGAGGTGACAACCATGTCAGCATTGTGTGTGTGTATACGTGCACGGGAAACGGAGGAAATCCAGAGGACTGAGAATAGGAGCTTTGTGGGGCTCTTCTCTTACCCAGCCTGCCTTGCGCTGAAGCCTCCCAGCTGATGTTAGTATTGATAACACCATGACCATCAGACCAGGTGCTTCGTAGCATCGTCTCGGTACCTCCTATATAACTGCTGCACGAGGGCCAGCTGGGATTGCCCTTGTGTTATCCATGAGTGGAGGCTGAGCTCACATGTAAACCCGTGTCCCTCTCCAAAGCTGGGCTGTGCTTCCTTGGGTTCACCTGGTCATCCTCTGGCCCTGGGGCTTCTGGGTACAGCTGGGGGAGGCTGGCCAGGAGCCAGGCGGGGGCTGAGAGAGGCAGAAGGGGACATTCAAGGCCAAACTGGGCCCAACTATCATGTCAGAGATTGTTCCCCAACAAAATCAATTTCGTTCAAAAGCAGTGTGGACTTTTCTATATTATTCTATAGTGGGTACTTTAGTACAGCCAGTAGT